CTGCTGAACAACTGCCCCAGCCCAGCGCCCTCCATGTCCTGTCTGCTGGGGCGTGGCTGTCCCCATGGGCGTGTCTCTGCCCAGAGCCAGTGTTCCCAGGCGGCTGTGTGCAGAGCACAGTCCTCCCTCAGGCCTGTGCCCTGCCCGACTGCCTGCTGTGGGATTCCTGCCCCGGCAGCCAGAGAGCGGGGAGAAGGGCGGCCCTGGGGCAGGGGGAAAGGCGGCCCTGGGGCGGGGCAGGCTCAGCCCCACAGCAGCACCCCAGGTCACAGGGAGTTCCGTGGGGGGCATGGGCCCTTCTCAGCACCCTCCTCTGGCCCTGGGGCGGGGCAGGCTCAGCCCCACAGCAGCACCCCAGGTCACAGGGAGTTCCGTGGGGGGCATGGGCCCTTCTCAGCACCCTCCTCTCTGGGGGGCGGGTTCTGCTGCTGTTTGACTCTGTCCCCGTCCAGTCCCGGCAGCCCCGGCTGGGCCCACCTGCCGGCACCTGGCCTGATGGAGAGAGCCTGTCACTGAAGACTATGGCAGGACACACACCTAGGAGGGGCAGAGTTAAGGTTACACGGTCAGCCTTGGACAGGCCCTTCCTCATCTTTGCGACCTTCACATTCCTTCAGCAAAGGTTTTTCAGTGTAATTTATGAACGGTTTGTAAAAGTAACAAATAATTCATGTTTTAGTAAAAGGTTAATCAATTACGCAGAGCCCCGTGGGGCCACTGGTGGCTGCTTGTTATCATCACGTGTCACCATTTAACATGCCAGGCTCATGGCAGGGCCACGCGTATCCCAGGGACAAACAGAGTTGGGGGGAGACCCCGTCCCTACCCCCGAGCCCCCCACAGACCCAGCGCCAATGAGCGGGGGCAGGGGATTCGCTGTGACTCTGGCCCCTCTCCTGTTCTCACCGCTCTGCAAACCGGCCCCTCCTCACCCCCAGCTCTGCCTGGTCCCCGTCGCTGTCCGGCCGTTTCCCTGCCCTGCCGGCTCCGTGAGCAGCCCGGCACTTCCCCCAGCGCCGCCGGCTCCGCTCCCTGGCGGCAGCGTTTGCTGGGGGTCCCCTGTGGGTGCCAGGCCCTGGGAACAGCCGGCGCCGACCCTGTGGCCTCTCACCATGCGCCGGCGTGTGGGCGACTCCGCAGCAGGGAGCTCTGGCCCTGAAATCCCTGCTGCCCCCGTGTGCCCAGCGCAGCCTGTGCGGCCCCTAGTGCCCTGGGGTAGGGGGAGGGGGGGCTCAGAGCCAGCAGGCTGGAACAGTGCAGCAGAGTCCCCCAGTGCGACCGTGTGCGTGTGTGTGTGTGTGTGTACACACATGTGCGTATATTTGTGTGAGTGTGCATGTATGTGTGTGCATGTGCGTGAACAGACCCAAGGGAGCTGGGGGCAGCAGTGTCACAACGGCCCCTAGTGCCCTGGGGTAGGGGGAGGGGGGGCTCAGAGCCAGCAGGCTGGAACAGTGCAGCAGAGTCCCCCAGTGCGACCGTGTGCGTGTGTGTGTGTGTGTGTACACACATGTGCGTATATTTGTGTGAGTGTGCATGTATGTGTGTGCATGTGCGTGAACAGACCCAAGGGAGCTGGGGGCAGCAGTGTCACAAGGTCACACCAGGGCCCCCCCCCGTCTGGGCAGACAGGTGCTGGGGCAGAGGAGCCCTCCCC